GGATTTATTGCTGAACAATTTGCAGTCACCAGTACATAAAGCCCGTTGGACACCCAAACAAGAACGTACTGTTTGTAGTGGAGAGGATTGCGTGACAACGCCTGACAGTTGTAAAGGTGATGTCCACAAGTCTCAAAAATCGCAACTGAAGTTGCTTGGTATTGTGAAAAAGTAGCACTTTCACCCACCAACACAATCCTTTCCACCGCTGATTAACATGCTTCACCAATGGATATCAGACTAACTGATTGCACTTCAACTTAGATATTTGCGGGGTATCAGCTTGGTTAACAAAACAAACTAAATGTAAAAACAAAAATATCCCAATTCTTTTCCATCGCTGATGAACATGCTTCACTCATGGATATCAGACTAACTGATTGCACTTCAATTATGGGTGTATCAGCTTGGTTATTGAGAAAAAAGTCAATCTTCTATAAATTAGGGACAAGTATCTTATAGTCACAGACTGTATTTCAGTTAAGAGGGAAGTTGAAGGAACCATTAATCTGACGTTTTTCTACTGACATTCTGGAGTGATCAATGGATAAACTCTATGTGAAATTTCAGGAAACAAAATAACTACATTTATATAAAACACTAATTTCAAAGTAGTAATCTAAATGGACGTGAATATTATGCTCACGTCTTCTCATGTGTAACCCTGTGTGGATTTCAGGCAATATACACAAATTACTGGACGTTGTTCCATCATGATTTGACACAATTCATCTAATATGGCTAAGACGTAACAAAAGTAAAACCACCGTGGTTTTGTTGTCAGCCATGACACATATATTTGCGGTGTTTTTTGATAAACAATATCTTGTCGTATGCATATCCATGTTTCGAAACATGGAAGATTATCAATTTGTATATCGATTCATTCAAGCAGGTGTGAACTAGTTTCAGTCGATTATACACAGTTAGTTGATATGTGTAAGGTTTTTAAGCGGCAATGGATTATGACTGCTTAAGAGTGAAAAAATAAGTTGGACTTAGCGCTGCTTTTGAACAGTGTTTTCTTTTACATGTCACCTTGTCCTGTCAGCTCAGTGTGGCAGGAAAGCCTGGAGTGGTGTAGGTCTCTGTACGTTTACCACTTCTTGAATAACACTGCGTTAACTTTGGATAGTAGTTCATCTGGAGATACTTTAATGAACGATCAAAGGAGCTGAAGTCCTTCCACAACCTTGAACGATGTGCATTTTTAGGTTATGTCATAACTGGTTGACGTCAAGCTGTTCAAATTACTTCCTGTGTTCCTGGTAACATTGTTTTGTCAGTCACGATGATGCAAGTGAATGTAAACGATCGGTGAACTCCATTCTCAGACTGACTCCCTTAAGAAGTAAGATTATAAAGTAGTTTAATGGTGCTGCATGGCTCTTCAGAAAAGTTTAATACTCCATCTAGTAAACTTAAATTACTAATGTCCAAGATATTTTTATGAATTAAACTTATTTTAATTTCTCTCACGCCGTTTCGAGACCATTCCAGGTCCCTACAACTTCTAAATGCCACTGAAAGACATTAAATTACTTAGTTAACTTAAAATAAGTGTTCCTTAACGGATACCTTTATGAATACCAAATAGTTATATACTTGAAAGTTTCAGAAGGAATCAAGTTTTAACAGTCATATGAAAGATGATGTCATCTGGCAACTCACTGTGAGGTTACCTTAAGATTATACAAACGTTGTCCTTGCCACAGCAGACACAGCTATAATAATTTAATAAGACAGGCAATTAATTCGAATAACCCTGAATGCGCTCTACGTGTGTGTGTGTGTGTGTGTGCGTAAATTTCTTAAAACTTATCACTGTGATCATAGACACATAACTCTATAACACACTGACACGTCTCAGATCTGACCTGTGCATTGTCTCTCACATAAACATGCTGCACATGGGTCTATGTAAAACTCTCAGTCGCCTCGTTGCTTTCTCTGCGTCGTTTGTTACATTTACGTTATGCAGATGGGTTTCTCTACAACAACAACCCGTCTCAGAGACTTGACGCATGCATCTTTTTCTTGCATTACAGTGGACTGTGTATAAACGGACACTCACTTGGACTGGAAAAAATGTCGGATTATACAGAGTGTGGGATAGTTCAATGTCTTCTTGGTTGAATACTTTTCAAATAGAACCATACATTGTAACTGGCTCATATCATGAAATCAATGCTTAATAGCTATTTGCTTGGTAAATAAAGGGGAAAATTCTCTATTTACATGTCCATGTATATCATTGGGTTTATTACCTTCAGTACAATATATATATATATATATATATATATATATAAGGGCAAATCCGACCTTTGGGCGACAGTACTATAAACTGCGACCTTTGGGCGACATTGCCATATATTACAAACGTACATTGATTTTTTATATTTCTTCGGTTATATACACTTTAATTTGATAATTAAACATTAAAAGGGGATAAAACCTTGTACATATATACAAATAGAGAATATATTTTTGGTGTCGCCCATACCGTGTCGCCCAGAGGTAAAGTGTACGGCGTACATGTATATATGCGACCTTTAGGCGACTGTCGCCCAAAGGTCGTATATATATGTCGCCAAATGGTCGCTTATGTAACATACATATATATATTTCGCCCAATGGTTGCTATTTAATACTATATACGTGTATACATTTCCATGGCTGCTTCCATGGATGGTAAGAAAACGACATCGTATCGCTTCCCGTGAACGAAGACGATTTTGTCAGTAAAGACGTCAAATTTTCAATTAAAAATTATTAGACAATTTTATTTATCTTTTTAGTTCTAATTTGAATTTTCTAGGCATTGTATTATCTGTAGGGATTAGGATTAGCGTGTGCATTTGCCTCGTATATACACCGTCGGACATGGCAATCAGCTGTGCACACTTTTCCCCGTGATCTACCGGTGATTTAGTTAAATTTATCCAATATTACTACGCGACGAATTCTAATGGAGTGATCGAAAAAAATCTAGTATCTAAAATTATTTTTGTGTTTCCATAAGAAATCTATTGTTTCGTTTTAGTTGCAGGCTTTGCTCTATAAATGTAAAATATCTATAATGATAACTGAGGTTATGCGAGAGCACGCACTATGGTGTTTTGCTGGATAGGATTTATGCAAGGAACAATTTGACCTGTCACCGATGAGGTTTCGCGCGATCTCGCTTATTCCACCGCGAAAACACTTCGTTGACATGTGATAGTCCAACTGCAAGAAATATTACTTTTAGCGAAAACAAATATGTATACAATGTACGTATCCATTTCCTGCCAAATACACTTTAATTCGAGGCGCGAGTAGATGTAAAATGATAGTGATTGTTGTGACTAATGCGGACCGAAGTTAAAACATCGGGGAGACACAGGATATAACTGCAGTTGATATAAACATTCTTTTTTAACCTTCTGAGTAAAATTAATAAACTGGATTGCAAAGTCCAGATATGAAAAACATGTTTTTTTACGAGATAAAGTAAATTAAATTTCGTCATCAAATATGGATATGTTGAAACTATTTCTAATGACTGATCACAATGAAAAGATGAGCGAAGGTTGATGGAGTCCAAATACCATCAAACCACAGCCCATTTTGAGCCAGTCGAGACTATTCCGGTTCTCCTATCATACACTGAGGCATACCAGACGACTCTTGATTAAACTGGGGGCTCCGACACTCATATTTGCAAAAATGTCTGGTCTGAATACCATTTAAACACAGCCCATTTTGAGCCAGTCGGGACTATATATCGTATTCAGTCGGAACTATTCTCGTTCTCTTATCATCAATGAGGCATACCAGACGACTCCTGAATAAACTGGGGGCTCCGACACGCATATTTGCCTGATGTCTGGTCTGAATACCAATTAAACACAGCCCATTTTGAGCCAGTCGAGACTACTCTCGTTCTCCTATCATATACTGAGGCATACCAGACGACTCCTGAATAAACTGGGGCTCCGACACGCATATTTGCCTGATGTCTGGTCTGAATACCATTTAAACACAGCCCATTTTGAGCCAGTCGAGACTATTCACGTATTCTTATCATACACTGAGGCATACCAGACGACTCCTGAGTAAACTGGAATAAACTGGGGCTCCGACACTGATATTTGCCTGATGTCTGGTCTGGGACTATATTCATCTAAACAGAGCCCATTGTGAGATATTTGCCAGTCGGGACTATTCTCGTTTCTCTTGTCGTACAATGAGGGCATACCAGACGACTCCTGAATAAACTGGGGCTCCGACACACGCATATTTGCCTTGATGTCTGGTCTGAATACCATTTAAACACAACTAATTTTGAGCCAGTCGGGACTATTCCCGTATTCTTATCATACACTGGTGGCATACCAGACGACTCCTGAATAAACTCGGGCTCCGGACACTGATATTTGCCTGTTGTCTGGTCTGAATACCATCTAAACAGAGCCCATTGTGGCAGCCAGTCGGGACTATTGCCGTATTCTTATCATACACTGGAGGCATATTAGACGACTCCTGAATAAACCTGGGCTCCGACACTCATATTTGCCTGATGTCTGGTCTGAATACCATCTATATACAGCCCATTTTGAGCCAGTCTGGAGTATTCCGGTTCTCCTATCATACACTGAGGCATACCAGACGACTCCTGAATAAACTGGGGCTCCGACACGCATATTTGCCTGATGTCTGGTCTGAATACCATCTAAACAGAGCCCATTGTGAGCCAGTCGGGACTATTCTCATTCTCCTATCATACACTGAGGCATACCAGACGACTCCTGAATAAAGTGGCGCTCCGACACTGATATTTGCCTGATGTCTGGTCTGAATACCATCTAAACACAGCCCATCACCACGCGCTAGTTCCGCAAGTGCTACCACCCAACGCCCTTATTTTTACAAATCAGCTTCGAGACTCCACCATGGAAAATGGAGCCACATTCCACCCCAAGGCGAACCAATGATAATGAACAAGAAAACATTGTAAGTTTAATAGTTACTATTTATTAAACCAAATAGTTTTGACATTCTTATTTGCATAACTTTGCAAATTGTGGCATTTACACTTCAGTGATCGAGACCTTGACTAACATTTGTCAGGTTAAATTGCTCACTATGTTGTTCTGTGATATGGTGTTTCACTCTGAGAGGGTAGGTTCAAATCACACAAGGGATTCACTCCACCCTCTACCAGCATAGTCCTAGTATCTGTACTTTACGGGGAAAGTGAATTCCCAAATGTAACATCCCTTAGAAATGATCTGAATATGTTTTAAGTTAATCTTATTCTTAAAATGTGTGTCATCTCTTCCTTGTCCTTTGCTGCTGTATTTTCTGCTTGTTCATCATTTTTGTTCTCAGCTGAACACATGAGCATTCATGCTTGGAAATCTGTAGAAATGCCTGAATGGTCCCCTCGTTTCTGAAATATAACAAAGTTTTCAAAATTATGTTAAAACATCAAGGTACAGTGAGTATCATCACTCAGCTGTTAGTCCTATAGTCTTTAACCAACTCCGACACTTAAGGTTGTTTTAGGACAAGTAAAGCATTTGCCATTTTAAGATTTAACTAATTTGTTATCATTATGAGGGACTTGTGGCCTAAATAAACTATTCACACTTTGCTATGGATTAAATCATTGATTCAACAGAAAGCTATAATGTGGGATGAAATTTGGTTTAAATATCTAAGCTTATTGTAAGTATGGATCCTAGGTTTCAGTATGACATTTCATCTTGTGGATCCCATACCTGCTATTGAAAGGTGTTGTTTGTTTGTAAATGACTTGTTCCATGATTTGCAAAATGGTTGATTGGTGCCATTAAAAACCATTTTATGGTTACTCATGTATCAAGTGCATAAGGTTAGACTAAAGTAGCTGTTTGCCTAAAGAAGGGTTACTATATTATTATTTATCCAGTTTTAAATGTATACAATTTCAAATTATAAATCTATGTCTAAGTATAGTTTGGAATTTTTTGTGATCCTTAGCAAAGTGTGAGTAGTATATGTTAGTTTCTAATCACTGCAATATACAATAAAACAACATATAGTAATTAAATTAAGTTTGCTGTAATGTAGAATAGAAATAGTTCTATAAAGATGGAGCCTTGAGTATTCAGGGAACTTTAATCTGATAACATGGCTGAAAATTGAATGGGGAGTGACTGCCACTGTCTATGAGTGAAATGAGGGGTAAGCACTAGTAGTGAGTGAGTTTAGTTTTTAGCTATGGACAATGACGCTTAAACCACTAGGCTACCCACCACCCGTCAACCCTAGAAGTAGTAAAGCTTCATTAAGCACATACAGACTGAATACCACAGAGAAGGGAAGGTGGGAGGATGTCAAGATAGATGCTGGTTAACTTTATTGCTTAGTGTTTATCAAACAAGTTGAAATGATGATTAAACAAACCATTGACGATATTAATATGCAGCATACAATTGGCTCAGTGATACATAAGATATGTTGCCCCATATTTTAATGGTGATATATAAGATGTGTTGCCCTAAGGTCTCATGGTGACATATAAGATGTGTTGCCCTAAGGTCTACTGGTAATATATATGATGTGTTGCCCTAAGGTCTACTGGGAATACATAAGATGTGTTGCCCTAAGGTCTACTCGTGACATACAAGATGTGTTGCCCACAGGTCTACTGATTGTATGATGTTCCCCTAAGTACTACTAATAATATATATGATCGGTCGCCTTAAGGTCTACTGGTCATATAAATGATAATGTTAATGATACATAAGATATATTTACCCCATATTTAAATGGTGATATATAAGATGTGTGGCCCTAAGGTCTATTGGTGATATATATATGATGTATTTGCCCACAGGTCTACTGATTGTATGATGTGTTGCCCACAGGTCTACTGATTGTATGATGTGTGTTGCCCTAAGGTCTACTGGTCATATAAATGATGTGTGTGATGATACCTAAGATATGTTGCCCCATATTTAAATGGTGAAATATAAGATGTGTTGCCCTAAGCTCTACTGGTGACATATAAGATGTGTTGACCTAAGGTCTACTGGTGATATATAAGATGTCTTGCCCTAAGGTCTAATGGTGACATATAAGATGTGTTGCCCTAAGGTCTACTGGTAATATATATCATGTGTTGCCCTAAGATCTACTGGGAATACATAAGATGTGTTGCCCTAAGGTCTACTGGTGACATAAAAGATGTGTTGCCCACAGGTCTACTGATTGTATGATGTTCCCCTAAGTACTACTAATAATATATATGATCGGGTCGCCTTTAAGGTCTACTGGTCATATAAATGATGTGTGTGATACATAAGATATGTTACCCCATATTTAAATGGTGATATATAAGATGTGTGGCCCTAAGGTCTATTGGTGATATATATGATGTGTTGCCCACAGGTCTACTGATTGTATGATGTGTTGCCCACAGGTCTACTGATTGTATGATGTGTTGCCCTAAGGTCTACTGGTCATATAAATGATGTGTGTGATACCTAAGATATGTTGCCCCATATTTAAATGGTGAAATATAAGATGTGTTGCCCTAAGCTCTACTGGTGACATATAAGATGTGTTGACCTAAGGTCTACTGGTGATATATAAGATGTCTTGCCCTAAGGTCTAATGGTGACATATAAGATGTGTTGCCCTAAGGTCTACTGGTAATATATATCATGTGTTGCCCTAAGATCTACTGGGAATACATAAGATGTGTTGCCCTAAGGTCTACTGGTGACATAAAAGATGTGTTGCCCACAGGTCTACTGATTGTATGATGTTCCCTAAGTACTACTAATAATATATATGATCGGTTGCCCTAAGGTCTACTGGTGAAATATAAGATGTGTTGCCCTAAGGTCTACTGGTAATATATATGATGTGTTGCCCTAAGGTCTATTGGTGATATATAAGATGTGTTGCCCTAAGGTCTACTGGTGACATATAAGATGTGTTGCCCTAAGGTCTACTGGTGATATATAAGATGTGTTGCCCTAATGTCTACTGGTGATATATAAGATGCGTTGCCCTAAGGTCTACTGGTAATATATATGTGTTGCCCTAAGGTAATATATAAGATGCGTTGCCCCTAAGGTCTACTCGTAATATATATGATGTGTTGCCCTAAGGTCTACTGGTGATATATAAGATGTGTTGACGAGAGGTCTACTGGGGATATATAAGATGTGTTGCCCTAAGGACTACTGATAATATATATGATGGGTTGCCCTTAGGTCTACTGATTATATATATGATGTGTTGCCCTAAGGTCTACTGGTGACATATAAGATGTGTTGCCCTAAGGTCTACTGGTAATATATAAGATGTGTTTCCCTAAGGTCTACTGGTGATATATAAGATGCGTTGCCCTAAGGTCTACTGGTGATATATAAGATGTGTTGCCCTAAGGTCTACTGGTGATATATAAGATGTGTTGCCCTTAGGTCTACTGGTGATATATAAGATGTATTTGCCCTAAGGTATACTGATTGTATCATGTGTTGCCCTAAGGTCTACTGATAATAAATATGATGGGTTGCCCTTATGTCTACTGGTGACATATAAGATGTGTTGCCCTAAGGTCTACTGGTAATATATATGATGTGTTGCCCTAAGGTCTACTGGTGAGATATAAGATGCATTGCCCTAAGGTCTACTGGTGATATATATAGTTGCGTTGCCCTAAGGTCTACTGGTAATATATAAGATGTCTTGCCCTAAGGTGTACTTGTGATATGTAAGATGTGTTGCCCTAAGGTCTACTGGTGATACATGAGATATGTTGCCCCATATTTAAATGGTGATACATAAGATATGTTGCCCTAAGGTCTACTGGTGACATATAAGATGTGTTGCCCTAAGGTTTACTGGTTATATATATGATGTCTTGCCCTAAGGTGTACTGGTGACATATAAGATGTGTTGCCCTAAGGTCTACTGATTGAATGATGTGTTGCCCTAAGTACTACTAATAATATATATGATGGGTTGCCCTAAGGTCTACTGGTGATATATATGATGTGTTGCCCTAAGGTCTACTGGTTATATATATGATGTGTTGCCCTCAAGTCTATTGGTGATATATAAGATGTGTTGCCCTAAGGTCTACTGGTGACATATAAGATGGGTTGCCCTAAGGTCTACTGGGATATATATGATGTGTTCCCCTAAGGTCTACTGGTGATATATATGTGTTGCCCTAAGGTCTACTGGTGACATATAAGATGTATGTTGCCCTAAGGTCTACTGGTGATATATAAGATGTGTTGCCCTAATGTCTACTGGTGATATATAAGATGCATTGCCCTAAGGTGTACTGGTAATATATATGATGTGTTGCCCTAAGGTCTACTGGTGATATATAAGATGTGTTGCCCTAAGGTCTACTGGTGATATATAAGATGTGTTGCCCTAAGGTATACTGATTGTATGATGTGTTGCCCTAAGGTCTACTGATATATATGATGGGTTGCCCTAAGGTCTACTGGTGATATATAAGATGTGTTGCCCTAAGGTCTACGGGTAATATATAAGATGTGTTGCCCTAAGGTCTACTGGTGAGATATAAGATGCATTGCCCTAAGGTCTACTGGTGATATATAAGATGTGTTGCCCTAAGGTATACTGATTGTATGATGTGTTGACCTAAGGTCTACTGGTGAAATATGAGATGTGTTGCCCCAAGGTCTACTGGTAATACATAAGATGAATAGCCCTAAGGACTAATGTGACATATAAGATGTGTTGCCCTAAGGTCTACTGGTAATATATATGATGTTTTGCCCTAAGGTGTACTGGTGACATATAAGATGTGTTGCCCTAAGGTCTACTGATTGAATGATGTGTTGCCCAAAGTACTACTTATAATATATATGATGGGTTGCCTTAAGGTCTACTGGTGATATATATGATGGGTTGCCCTAAGGTCTACTGGTGATATATATGATGTGTTGCCCTAAAGTCTATTGGTGATATATAAGATGTGTTGCCCTAAGGTCTACTGGTGACATATAAGATGGGTTGCGCTAAGGTCTACTGGTGATATATATGATGTGTTCCCCTAAGGTCTACTGGTGATATATATGATGTGTTGCCCTAAGGTCTATTGGTGATATATAAGATGTGTTGCCCTAAGGTCTACTGGTGACATATAAGATGTGTTGCCCTAAGGTCTACTGGTGATATATAAGATGTGTTGCCCAAATGTCTACTGGTGACATATAAGATGTGTTGCCCTAAGGTCTACTGGTGACATATAAGATGTGTTGCCCTAAGGTCTACTGGTGATATATAAGATGTGTTGCCCTAATGCCTACTGGTGATATATAAGATGCATTCCCCTAAGGTGTACTGGTAATATATATGATGTGTTGACATAAGGTCTACTGGTGATATATAAGATGTGTTGCCCTAAGGTCTATTGGTGATATATATGATGTGTTGCCCACAGGTCTACTGATTGTATGATGTGTTGCCCACAGGTCTACTGATTGTATGATGTGTTGCCCTAAGGTCTACTGGTCATATAAATGATGTGTGTGATACCTAAGATATGTTGCCCCATATTTAAATGGTGAAATATAAGATGTGTTGCCCTAAGGTCTACTGGTGACATATAAGATGTGTTCACCTAAGGTCTACTGGTGATATATAAGATGTCTTGCCCTAAGGTCTACTGGTAATATATATGATGTGTTGCCCTAAGGTCTATTGGTGATATATAAGATGTGTTGCCCTAAGGTCTTCTGGTGACATATAAGATGTGTTGCCCTAAGGTCTACTGGTGATATATAAGATGTGTTGCCCTAATGTCTACTGGTGATATATAAGATGCGTTGCCCTAAGGTCTACTGGTAATATATATGTGTTGCCCTAAGGTAATATATAAGATGCGTTGCCCTAAGGTCTACTCGTAATATATATGATGTGTTGCCCTAAGGTCTACTGGTGATATATAAGATGTGTTGACGAGAGGTCTACTGGGGATATATAAGATGTGCTGCCCTAAGGTCTACTGATAATATATATGATGGGTTGCCCTTAGGTCTACTGGTGAAATATAAGATGTGTTGCCCTAAGGTCTACTGGTAATATATATGATGTGTTGCCCTAAGGTCTATTGGTGATATATAAGATGTGTTGCCCTAAGGTCTTCTGGTGACATATAAGATGTGTTGCCCTAAGGTCTACTGGTGATATATAAGATGTGTTGCCCTAATGTCTACTGGTGATATATAAGATGCGTTGCCCTAAGGTCTACTGGTAATATATATGTGTTGCCCTAAGGTAATATATAAGATGCGTTGCCCTAAGGTCTACTCGTAATATATATGATGTGTGTTGCCCTAAGGTCTACTGGTGATATATAAGATGTGTGTTGACGAGAGGTCTACTGGGGATATATAAGATGTGCTGCCCTAAGGTCTACTGATAATATATATGATGGGTTGCCCTTAGGTCTACTGATTATATATATGATGTGTTGCCCTAAGGTCTACTGGTGACATATAAGATGTGTTGCCCTAAGGTCTACTGGTAATATATAAGATGTGTTGCCCTAAGGTCTACTGGTGATATATAAGATGCATTCCCCTAAGGTCTACTGGTGATATATAAGATGTGTTGCCCTAAGGTCTACTGGTGATATATAAGATGTGTTGCCCTTAGGTCTACTGGTGATATATAAGATGTGTTGCCCTAAGGTATACTGATTGTATCATGTGTTGCCCTAAAGGTCTACTGATAATAAATATGATGGAGTTGCCCTTATGTCTACTGGTGACATATAAGATGTGTTGCCCTAAGGTCTACTGGTAATATATATGATGTGTTGCCCTAAAGGTCTACTGGTGAGATATAAGATGCATTGCCCTAAGGTCTACTGGTGATATACAAGTTGCGTTGCCCTAAGGTCTACTGGTAATATATAAGATGTCTTGCCCTAAGGTGTACTTGTGATATGTAAGATGTATTTGCCCTAAGGTCTACTGGTGATACATGAGATATGTTGCCCCATATTTAAATGGTGATACATAAGATATGTTGCCCTAAGGTCTACTGGTGACATATAAGATGCGTTGCCCTAAGGTCTACTGTTAATATATATGATGTGTTGCCCTAAGGTCTACTGGTGATTTATAAGATATGTTGCCCTAAGGTCTACTGTCGATATATAAGATGTGTTGCCCTAAGGTCTACTGGTGATATATAAGATGTGTTGCCCTAAGGTCTACTGGTGATATATAAGATGTGTTGCCCTAAGGTATACTGATTGTATGATGTGTTGCCCTAAGGTCTACTGATAATATATATGATGGGTTGCCCTTAGGTCTACTGGTGACATATAAAGATGTGTTGCCGTAAGGTCTACTGGTAATATATATGATGTGTTGCCCTAGGGTCTACTGGTGATATATATAAGATGTGTTGCCCTAAGGTTTACTGGTAATATATATGATGTGTTGCCCTTGAGGTCTAATGGTGATATATAAGATGTGTTGGCCAAAGTCTACTGATTGTATGATGTGTTGCCTTAAGGTCTACTGGTAATACATGTGATGTGTTGACCACAGGTCTACTGGTGATATATAAGATATGTTGCCGTAAGGTCTACTGGTAATAAATATGATGTGTTGACGACAGGTCTACTGATTGAATGATGTGTTGCCCTAAGGTCTACTGGTCATATAAGGGATACAAGGTTTGACTACATTTGACTGTAGTCAAGTGAACTACAGAGGATTTGGTATATTTACTATATATGATGTGTAACCCTAAAGATGTAATGATAATACATATGATGTGTTGCCCACAGGTCTACTGATTGTATGATGTGTTGCCCTAAGGTCTACTGGTGATATATAAGATGCATTGCCCTAAGGTCTACTGGTGATATATAAGATGCGTTGCCCTAAGGTGTACTTGTGATATGTAAGATGTGTTGCCCTAAGGTCTACTGGTGATACATAAGATATGTTGCCCCATATTTAAATGGTGATATATAAGATGTTTGCCCTAAGGTCTACTGGTGACATGTAAGATGTGTTGACGTAAGGTCTACTGGTGATATATGAGATGTGTTGCCCCAAGGTCTAATGGTAATACATAAGATGGAATTGCCCTAAGGTCTAATGGTGACATATAAGATGTGTTTGCCCTAAGGTCTACTGGTAATATATATGATGTCTTGCCCTAAGGTGTTCTGGTGATATGTAAGATGTGTTGCCCTGAGGTCTACTGGTGACATATAAGATGTGTTGCCCTAAGGTCTACTGATTGAATGATGTGTTGCCCTAAGGTCTACTGATAATATATATGATGGGTTGCCCTTAGGTCTACTGGTGACATATAAGATGTGTTGCCGTAAGGTCTACTGGTAATATATATGATGTGTTGCCCCTAGGGTCTACTGGTGATATATAAGATGTGTTGCCCTAAGGTTTACTGGTAATATATATGATGTGTTGCCCTTGAGGTCTAATGGTGATATATAATATGTGTTGGCCAAAGGTCTACTGATTGTATGATGTGTTGCCTTAAGGTCTACTGGTGAAATATGAGATGTGTTGCCCTAAGGTCTACTGGTGAGATATAAGATGCATTGCCCTAAGGTCTACTGGTGATATATAAGAGATGTGTTGCCCTAAGGTATACTGATTGTATGATGTGCTGCCCTAAGGTCTACTGAAAATATATATGATGTGTTGCCCTAAGGTCTACTGGTTATATATATGATGTGTTGCCCTAAGGTCTACTGGGAATACATAAGATGTGTTTGCCCTAAGGTCTACTGGTAATATATATGATGTGTTGCCCTAAGGTATACTGATTGTATGATGTGTTATCCTAAGGTCTACTGATAATATATATGATGGGTTTGCCCTAAGGTCTACTGGTGACATATAAGATGTGCTGCCCTAAGCTCTACTGGTAATATATAAGATGTGTTGCCCTAAGGTCTACTGGGGATACATAAGATGTGTTGCCCTAAGGTCTACTGGTAATATATATATGATGTGTTGCCCTAAGGTCTAATGGTGATATATAAGATGTGTTGGCCAAAGGTCTACTGATTGTATGATGTGTTGCCTTAAGGTCTACTGGTAATATATATGATGTGTTGACCACAGGTCTACTGGTGATATATAAGATGTGTTGCCGTAAGATCTACTGGTAATATATATGATGTGTTGACCAGAGAGGTCTACTGATTGTATGATGTGTTGCCTTAAGGTCTACTGGTAATATATATGATGTGTTGACCACAGGTCTACTGGTGATTTATATGATGTGTTGCCTTAAGGTCTACTGGTAATATATATGATGTGTTGACCACAGGTCTACTGGTGATATATAAGATGTGTTGCCCTAAGGTCTACTGGTAATATAAATGATGTGTTGCCCTAAGGTCTAATGGTGATATATAAGATGTGTTGGCCAAAAGGTCTACTGATTGTATGATGTGTTGCCTTAAGGTCTACTCATGAGTAATATATATATGATGTGTTGCCCACAGGTCTACCGTTGATATATAAGATGTGTTGACCAAAAGTCTACTGGTGATATATATGATGTGTTGCCCTCTTAGGTCTACTGGTGATATTTAAGATGGGTTGCCCAAAGGTCTACTGATTGTATGATGTGTTGCCCAAAGGTCTACTGATTGTATGATGTGTTGCCCTAAGGTCTACTGATTGTATGATGTGTTGCCCACAGGTCTACTGATTGTATGATGTGTTGCCTAAAAAGTACTGGTGATATAAGATGAGTTGCCCAAAGGTCTACTGATTATATGATGTGTTGCCCACAGGTCTATTGAAAATTTATGATGTGTTGCCCAAAGGTTTGCTGATAACAGATCTGATGTGTTGCCGAAAGGTCCTCTGATAAAGGTCTGATGTTAAAAGAATATATATGTGTTGGCCAATGATCTGTAAAAATAACAGATTGGGATGTGTTGCCCAATGGGCCTTGATTATAGCAGACGGGATGTGTTGCCCAATGTGTTGCGATTATAACAGATTTGATGTGTTTCCCAACATTCTGCTGAATATTAATACATATATATATATATATATATATATAGAAGTTGCCCGATGGTCAACACAATACATCCTATTCATCATCAACACAGACCTTTAGACAACACATCCTAGTTGCATACAATGTAATTTATCTTGATTGATTTACTAATGACCTGCCAGGATATCATAAAGCGGTCGAGAGCTAAACACATTCATGACTTTGTATCATGATATGATATGTTATTGGTGTTCACTTATCTTGATATCTAGAAAGAAACTACTAAAAACTGGTGGTACCTTTTGACTTCAAGTCATCTGCTGATGAACAGTATATCCACCTTTACATTTTAGTACCTTCTCACAGATACTACATCTGAATCCTGAAAAGATAAACAAAGAAAATGTCTCTGCTGACATGGAATAGGAGGTGTCTTCAGTTCTCATTTGCTGTGTATGAAGGACACCAAAACATTAATGCAAATGTATTATATGAATCATTTGATAACAACCCATTTAAACACCTGATACAATTATGTAAAAACAAATTTAATAGAGAACCCACCCATCCCACCTCTAACCGGCCCAAGTGATATGAACATAATGGTGTCAGAACTTTTATACACCTGATTATCAAATGGAAGATTGAATTATTGACAGCAGACAAACAACAAAATGGAGGGAATATGTTTATTTGTATACTCTGTATTGAGAAATGCCAATCTTTTCTCTTCATGGGTCTGGTCTGAATTGTGTGCACTACGAAACACGACACGCATCAGCTCTCTATGAAACTGTGGTAAGATATGAGTACATAGTAACCTAAAAGTGAAAATGATATCTCTATAAAAGACATGATTATTGCAGGGATTAATTTTTGAATTGCAAATGTTTGGACATCAATCAAGTGCAAAAGTCAATGTTGAAAATTACCCTATTGATATGTGAAAAGAGCAAATTCTGCAAATTTTCAAAATTTCTACATTTTCTGTAAAGTTTTCCATGATCAAAACCACAATACTTGTCTGGAACTGCTTGTTATGAGGTACATACAGTAAATTTTTCATATATGTCATCAAAGACAGACTATCTGTATATAAGGGCTATTCCATGTCTAACAATTAACCTCTTATTGGCCATTTTGAATTTCTTGTTACATTTATAAATATTTAAAGATCATGTATTGAGATAATACCTAAAACAAGTATTGCTGCACTTTGGTACTGATCGGCACAATACCATTCAAGATAACTGTACTAATATTAAGAAGGCTAAAACAAATTGCAAAAGATTCATGAGGCATTACTTCATTGGGGTATTGCAAGTTTGTGGTGCTGAAATCTAAAGGTAAGCCAGAACAATGTTTAGTTTAGGAATGCCACGATACATCGATACTTTTCAAAGACGATACAATCATTGATACATTCAAAACTCTGTCGATATTTAGTTTTGAAAGTATTGATTTAAATACATTTTAATATGCATCGTTCACATTTTGCAATTGTATCATGTTTTTATGTTATGAGAGTTATAAATGATTATTTTTTTTAATTTCTGAGAATAGACAATGTTGATCTTTTCAAGGACTCTTATAAATATAAAATATTTAATGTTCAAAATGTAACTAATTTTACACAATAAATGCAGCGAAAATAGGTATCATGATACATATCGAATCATGTCATGAGTATCGTGATACGTATCGATTCATGAAACTTATTTATCGGGACATCCCTAGTTAGGGTAGAAATAAATTCAACAAAGTTGTAAACATGGTATTCACAATTTAAACCTACTAACATGAAGGTATTGATTTCTAGATCACATAACCTACCCCTTCCTCCTTTGGAATGCCTCAGAGACTCACCCTCTGATTCTGCAGTTTCAAGATCACACTTCTCCTCTGCCAAGCTCAAGCGTGTCTTGGTCCGTTCATAGTTGTCTGTATCATGCAACATTAAAATGTTAACAATATTATTCTCAAAATGATTATGAACTTAAATTCAAAACTGAGCTTAAGAAATAATATTTTTTCTTCTGAACTGATAAAGTATTTAAAATTCTACTAGATTTAGTTATCACCCTAACAACATACATAAATTATGAATTTACAATGTTTCATATTCAGAAACTCTTGTAAAATAAAATTAACTTACCGGGCATAAACTGGATTGGATAGGATTTCCACGTCTAACAGGACCATCTGAGACTAGCACTTCTGAGTCTCTGAATATATATAATTTTGATAGAATCAAACAATTCCTTTTAAACTGAAAGGAGCTCCAGTGAGATGCAGATTCCTGAATCTAAGTTAATCTAGACTTGCTTAAATTTGGTCTTTATCATTGCAGAAAGGCATAGACGGAAGTAAATATAGTAAAAACAGACTAGACCTTTCCTGACATTTTACAGTCTATGTCAACTTTGAACTTGAGTTGTAGGGTGACCAAAGGGAAAAACTTGTGCCATCAAGTCAATTTGATTGGAATTTAAGAATACCCATACTATCATAGTTTCAATTTACTCACACAATATACAACGATATGTCTTTAGTCATGGGTTGCCTCTAAATGATGTTCAGGATTGTGTTAGTCATCCATGCATAAATGTCAAAACTCACCAGTAATACAAAATGTTGATTTCTTTCAGGTTTATTTTTAATTTACTATCCATAATAACAATCATCGATTCTATGATTTATGTCAATAATGTCTGCCCAGTGCTGTTCATCGATGTTGGTATTAGTCGACAGTGCAAACTATCAGCCGATGATGGACCAATGATGAACAGCACATTACCTGAATAGATGCATCAAAGAGGCATTTCTGAAACTGTTATTATGGCTTTGTAAAGGTAACTTACAACAGGGAAGGGCTTTAATTCTTACTGTTTGTACTGACAGGTATGTTAAACTTCATCTCCATTTTTAAAAGAGAAATAGTTTGTTTAAGAAACCCCGCTTTGAACAAAATTACCCTTTTATGCAATTTGACTGCTAAGGGAACTTAAGAAACCATAAAAGACTAATAACATATCCCTGCATAGAAACAGTTGGTCTATTGACCAACCAATAAGTTATAACATGTCTCAATGTGTTTAGTGAGATCCATCCTTGATTTTTTCAGTTAATCTTATTCTGTCCACTGGTATTTACCCTCTTTCCTACGTTACACAATGTACAGGATTTAGACTTTGAAATGAGGAAATGTGTCTGCATTAAACATACAAAGATATAGCTGCCATGGAATTATGAAAGCTCAAAAAGGGAATTCTGACTGTATTCATGCACAATATTGAATTAACAGATACAAGTGCATCAGTGAAGTGGAAAATCTCTAGCAATTTCAAATTTCTGAGGATTATTAAAGAAAACTGCAACTATTTAAACAACATATATTAGACATACCAATCAGGTTTAACATGTCTATGGGATAGATTAAAATTAAGTTGTATTTATGGTGCTTAATCAGGTGTCATTCGATAATTAAATCAACGGAAAGATGAAAGAAAATTATGTACATGTAGCTGAAGATGATTTCCAAGATGTTTGCAAACTTCTACTCAATTTATGAAAATTATTTTTTGCAACAGTTAATTAACATGTAAGTATATGGAAATTTCACTAAGGATGACTCCCTATGGCCAACCACTGTACTCTGTAGTCTCTGTCACAGTCCCTGAACCACAATATTATTTTTCCCTACTGCCTTGCCCTTTCTGCAATGCTACAGCCCTAAATGAACCAGGTCTAGATTTCCTCAAGTTCTGGTTTCCCTGGGGCTCCTTTTCAATTTATAATGCGTTTGTTTGTTGATATAAAAAAAATTATATTCAGAGACTAAGCGAGGATCAAGAAACAACATGAGATACGAGACCTCACAATCGCGATCAAGTTACTAGCAAACAGTTTCTTCCAGTTGCGAAATCTTGAAATAGATTGTGTCATGGGACAGGCATCGCCTTTGATACAATATTGTACATGCTGCTGTTTTCAACAAAATACTCTGATTACGATACATACCCTGCATTTCCCAATGCTTTGTGCTGCAGAAGTCACCTCGTGTAGTGCGCGAAAACTGTCGCAAACGGGTTCCGATTTGACACAAAATGTGAACGGGCCTTCGTGTGAAACATGAATTCAGTTTGTTTACAGATTATTACATTGTTATTTTGATCGAAGAATCAAATGTTTTAAGTATTTAAACGTGTTCTTGATGGCATATTAGTCTTGTCTGTAAGCTCCCACAATATCTACAGACATTATTGAGTTATTAGGTAAGTGTTCATTTCGACGTTGCCGCTTTTGAACTTTCACGTTTTGACGCACAGGAGCGTGACGGCAAATCGCCGAAAGGTACTGCGAGGCGAAACAGTGATGTTATGGCGAACGCTTAACGATGTGTATATTTGAAAAAAAGTATGTACAAAACCTAATAGCATATATCTAGACAATAATTCCTCCATTGTTTATTTCTGAACATATATCCAGGTGTTAGGGAATTTTATAGAAAAACCCCGTGTCGCCGAAAGGTCGCAGACGTTATATACACGATATTTTTGTTTTTTCAATAACAGCACTGAATTTTTATAAAAATACAAAAGCACACCCGAAGGTCCTGAGACCAACTTCTATCCAACCATCCACTTTGGGATAGTTATTAAGGAAAATGAAAATAGTTGTGACGTGCAGATATTTAGGCGACAGAAATATATCCTTAGGGCGACGGCTGTATATATATATATATATATATATATATATATATATATATATATATATATATATATATATATATATATAACTCGGGAAAGACAAGGCTCGAGAATTACATAATTAATATAACTCGGGAAAGATAGGGATCTGTCATTCCCCGTCACGAGTTGGTTATTGTTTTCCCACATAGGAAATGAATATAATTACTGCTCAAGTAATACATTCAATTGAAAATGAAATTAAACTTTAGATACCATAACGTGTACACTGTACACTGGATAAGGAGAAGGGTGTGTCGGTGGCGAATACTAAGATGTATAAACTGATTAATGATCAGTTTTGTCTATTTTATATAAGCAGATGGGAACTGCCATAAAGTATAGTATTAAGGTTATGTGAGTAGGTATGGAAGTATGTGTTTGATCTTATCTGTAAACAAACATATTTTGGATACAAATATTTGAGCAGTGTAATCTCATACTGATTCACTGGGAGAAGGAAGCGTCTTGAGAGACTCATTGTTCTTTAACTAGACCGTAGATTCTCTTGAATGATCTGAGCCGTGGACTGAGTATTACCTTGGCACCAGGACACACAGAGATCGTATTAAGGCAAAGGCTCAGTGAAAATATAGGCCACCCTTCCCTTGTAGCGAGATGAAAAGCAGAAAACAGGACAAATACTAAAAAACCAAAAAAAAGGAAATAATTTGCCTTCCTATATATGATATTGTTTGATTTCTGGGGAATGGTATTTCTGTATGACTGACGTATACATGGCCAGGCTGTTTCAGAAAGTAGATGGATGGTCTACTTTCTTGTAACCGTATTCAGTGTTACAGATCTGAATCTTTCTGAGTAGTAGCTACGTTCTCAGATTCCTTGTGTTCATTTTGGTCCAGTCCTTTGCCTGTAGCCTCTGTGTACGATGGAGGAGCTGCAACATTCGCATACGTTGGGTTTGACGCAGCAACATACGATGAAGGAACATTCATGGGGTTTACTTCCTCTGAAGCTTGGAGGTTGGACTTGCGATTTTTTCGCCTCAGCCAGTAACAGAAACCGATGATGATAGCGATGCCGACGATGATGAAAAGGACGATGAGGCCGATGACAAGGGCATTTGGCGATGGCTCTTTCAAATCGAATTTTTCTGAAGGCGAAATCATGACACCATCACATTGCAGCAGATGAATACTCATTTCTTTAAACATTTACCACCATTATATCCTTACAAACCTGACCTGTGAAGATATGGGTTAGAAATGGTCTCCTGTAACCCATGCTTGTCGAAAAAGGCGACAAACAGGATCGGGTGGTCAGGTTCGCTGACTGCGTTGACACATGCCATCGTATCCCAATTGCGGAGATCGATGCTCATGTTGTTGATCACTGGGTTTGTCTAGTCCAGACTCGATTATTTACATATAGCTGGAATACTGCTGACTGCGGCGTTAAACAACAACCAAACCAACCTTACAAATCTGACCTGACCAAACTTGGAATTACGTTTTCCAAAAACTACTATTGTTTCCAATTTGGTTACTGGTTGCCAGAAACGTTGGCTTCATACAAATAAACCAAAGTACACAACCCAACTAAATCTACGAAAATCAAAATGCAATCCAGTGATTGTGAAATATGTCCAGAAATAAGGCGTTTAGATCAAGAAAAAATATAGCCGTCACATAAAGTCCCTTTGCTATAATGTTTGCTACCGGAGGTACATGTTCACGACAAAACCCTTTCCACATCCTTAAGAAATCTCTGCTAAAAGCAGGGTCGATTGTAAGTTCTATCTACAGACTGAGTATAGTGGAAGCCCTCTAAACCGGCATTCGTTGGGACCGGCAAAAATACCGGTCTAGAGGGCAAGCCGGTTTAGAGAACTTTTCCCTTTTCGACCTGAGAATGATCTTCCGTGTGCCGTAAAATACGACTGAACACCGGAAAAACAAACCAGTCTCATCACAGTTAAAGACATCTTCAGGCGCATATTCATCAATCAAAGTTGGGACTTCACTCTGATCTAAAATGGCACTTTCGCCGCTTACTTTGAACTGTCCGATGTCGTATCGTGTCTTCCAACGTGCCAGCTATATTCCATATTTGCTGTCTTCCGTTTTGTGCACAAACGCCATTAATTGAGTGAGTGAGTTTAGTTTTACGCCGAACTCAGCAATATTTCCAGCCATATGGCGGCGGTCTGTAAATACTAGAGTCTAGTCCAGGTAATCCGGTGATCAACTGCAGTTGCAGTTATGATGACGTGTCAACCAAGTCAGTAAACCTGACCACCCGATCCTGTTAGTCACCTCTTACGACAAGCAAAGGTTGCTGAAGACCAATTCGAACCCGGATATTGACGTGATCACTGGATTATGTCATATTGCGATGGTAGCCCTATATACTACATAGTTGTTTTATTGACATCTTATGTTGTTTACTTGCTTAAATGCCAATCCAGTACTCAAATGAATCAAATGTAAACTATTTCTAGGAGGTCCTTCAAAAATGTCTCCGAAAAATATTTCCAGCTATATGGCGGCGGTCTATATATAATCGAGTCTGGACCAAACAATCCAGTGATCAACAGCATAAGCAATCTACGCAACTGGGATACGATGACATGTGTCCACAAGGTCAGCGAGCCTGACCACCCGATCTTGGTATGGGTTACTGATGATCAATTCTAACCCAGATCTTCACGGGTACAACGCAATTAACTCATACAGATTCAGCATCAGCAACATGTACATGTCTACAATATACCTACCAGCTGTGTAGACCAAGTTGAAGCCATATGCTGTGGAATATTCATCAGAGACGAATTCAATATACAGCGTCTTCCCCGTGCTCCTCACTGTCTTGGTGATGTTTGCCCCACAGACGTTTGATACTCGATTGTATTTAGCGGAAGGTCCTGAAAGTAAAGTATAATCAAATCTCATCATAAGAAGCATTCAGTCAAATACAGCCATAAGACCCATGAGTCAGCGTGTAGTATACTTTTTAAGTCAACGAATACGAT